CTTCTGAACTTCATTATGGACTCAGTGCAACGTATTACTCGATTATTCAAGTAGAGTTGCTGATCTTTATTAACATGTTTTCCTTCTACTTTGAATCCTGTTTAATGTTATTATATCGTAGATTTTGTATTTGTTTTACAGTGCGTTTCGTATAGGCACTAACAAAACAGGTACACTGTTAAAAAAATAGGAAAATTACGCAATGTTTCAAGCCTTTCTATAAATTAAGAGATTCTATAAATTAATTGATTGATATACTCTGGCGAATATAAATCTTCATGAAACGCTTCTAAACTTTCTCTTAATCTTCATTGTAACATTGAATTCGCATAGCTCCGATATATATTGCAGAAATATTGAAAGACTTCATCAAAATAGACGCAGAATACTACTGCACCAGGAATCAGTTATAACAATATATCCTCTTTCAAGTGTTGGGATGACCAAATGATCTCCAGTTATGTTTTCTTTGCAGCTCGAACAAGTAGGTGGATAGTGGACATTGTGTCTTATATAAATGTGCTGTGCTAAACAATATTTACTTCGTAATCCAAACAACCAATCTTGCGCCATATGTTTCAATGCATAGTATTATTTACGAAAAGTGACTTCGACTGTTTCAAACGGCGACTGGCGATGTCAGCGTTATTTACAGAGTAGCGATAGAACTGCGTGGCGTGATATGAAATAACTAGTATATGCCAATATGATCTTTTGAAAAACCGTGTGTTTTCAACTTAAATAAAAAATAACAAAGTATAGCCTTTGTTTAATAACAATGAGATTTACTGGAGTGAAGAAAATAAACAAACGCTGATTACAGTTAATTATGCTATTATTTATTCTAAATAAAAATTATTTAATGTGGTTTTGATTGCATTCCTCAGACAAGTCTTATATTACACTGTTGTAGACTGAATATTAGTTAGTGCCTTATCCTAACTAGCTTGACAGTTCGGGTCGTAAATCTGAGGTTCTTGATTCCGGGTTTGAAGAAGTCAAAGGTCAACGCTAAAAGATGGATCCTTTCATCCCAATTGTGAGTTTTTTTCGCACCGAAAATACTAGCCTTTATCCATAAAGCATCCAGATTTGGAAAAAATAAAAATTTAATATTTATTCGCAGATTTTATAAAGAATCCGAAATAAACATATTTTCTTGAATTGCTTATATTTTAACGTTTATTGAGGCAAAAGTGGTGCCATTTGTCCCGTAAAATAAGATAGATTTGATTGCTTTTTTCGTTATGAAATTATTTGGGAAGGATTAAAGTCGTGATCATACACGTCATTGTAAAAAATTTAACATTTATTCGTGCCATGAGTTACATTTTGGTATTTGGGCCTAAACATGTCCAACTTTAATTTTGTTTAATTACGGGCAAATTGGGTACTTTCTTAACAAAGACATGTTTCAACATGTTTCTGTGATATATCGGCGTTTCGGGTTGTTTGTTATTTATCGTTCGCTACTTGAAAAATTAGCGAAGAGTTGGTGTTGACAGCTATTGAACAAATACACTTTGATCGAATCGAGATATTGATGCATTCCAGCCTTTATATTATGACGTAACAGACTACAGGCAACAAATTTGAAACAACGTTTTCATTTGAAGAATTAACCCTTTGCTTTCGACTCGACTTCGACTAATTTCAACCCAGATTGAAACGAATAAATGAGGAACGAACGGGTTAAATAAAACCGACTTCGCTTTCTTACGGGTAGATGAACCCCGATTTTCCGCCTCGATGGTCCGAACTTCGTTTTCCTTCTTTTTGACAAAGAAAATCTTGTTTCAGGGCTAAGTGGAGTTTATATTATACTGGCTTCAGAAACGTCTGGTTTCAAATGATGAAACTGCGCAAATGAAGGTGAAGGGTTTTAAAAGGATATGTCTGTCTGTAATAAGAAATGATTTTACTGGGAATATATTGTAACGGGAATGGATTTAATATCCAAGGATTAGATTTATAACGATTTTATGCTTTGCGTAAAGCTTACGTACACTTTCAAGCTTCAATCTTAAAAACAGAGTTGGCGGATATACATCCTTGAAACTATCTTTACTTAGTACTGCAGTAATAAAAGATTTTTAAAGCATCGATTTATATTGCAGATATATTTCATAGTTTAATCAAAAAGTCATCAAAATAGACTGGAAATAGTACTGCAGTGGTATTTAATTATATGAGTTCTTTTTTATGTTCATTCTATTTTACATATAAGGAGACATGGGTTACAGTTGTAGACAGAATTGTTGTTTGAATTATTGGTCTAAATCCGTGAAATATGTCTTTTGCGATTATACTTTAACTAATTGTAAATCATATAAATATTTTGGTTATGTACACTGTATACTTTTATTTTTAATGCTTTGTGTATTAGATTAGTGTAAACTTAGAAGCAGGAATAACTATATGTTTCCAATCGCCATTTCATTGGTCTCTTCGGTAGAGTTCATATTAGGCTGCTGCATCGACAGCAGGTTCCAATTTTTAGACCTTAAATAAATACTTGTTTATAGATTATTTCGGAGAGAATAAAACCAATATATCATTCTTATTTATATTTTAGTACTATTCAGCATTTTAATTGTATTTTAGTGCGATATATATTTTAGTGTTACTGTTCATAAAACCATTGAAATGCTGCCATCGGAAATTTGTTGGCCCAATGAGTTTTAGAGAACCAGATTTGATACTCCCGTAGTGTGTGTACCAGGTTAGGGTTGGGGGGCATAATTTTATTCCGATTTATCTATTTTAGTTCTATTACGAGTTCGGGGACTGACTGAGTTAGCCACGTAAAATATACCTTCTGCTCATTAGTCATTAGTTTCAATCCCTTTACATAACTTGATGTAAAGTAGGCGAACAAAATTAGTTACCTCCGTATTGGTACGCACACTGCTGGAGCGTCCCAGATTTTTTAATTTGGGCAGTCTAAAAACCCCAGCTTTATTACACCATAGGTAAAAAAATGAGCTGATTCTCCCAATCAAACTAAAACTTCGAACTCGAGACGTCTCTTGTGATGCTAATATACGTGGCCAAATCACCGCACAAACCACAAGACTTACGCTCCACTTTATGAATCATTTGTGAACCCACATTTAACGCGTTTGTTCGACTACTTTGAACGTTTTGCGTCGGATTCCTACGTTCATTAGTACAAGATTACTATTGTTTATCGCCACGGGTGGCTAAAGCTTTACAGAAGTCAGTAATAAACGTACAGTAGTAAACTATAGTTGAACAGCGTGATTTGTAACTTTGTTATCAAATGAGGTTGAGCACGAGCGAGACTGGTTTGTCAAAATCTTTTGTGATGTAAATGTTTGAACGGAGTTCAGAAACTTTTGTCAGAACATGGCTTATAGGTTAGCGGCCATTTTAAAATTCTTTTTTTTTTTGCAAATAATTTTCCTCGTTGTTTATGAAGAAAAAATTGTGCTTGTTTTTATTATATTGAACATTAGCGCGACGTACCTAACTTGGGCCGTTATTTGTAAAGACTTTCTTAATTCTGACTACTTGGGATAGTCTTAGTATAATATTGTATATATATTATTCAAAGTCCATAATGTAATTAAGCAGCTATTTTATGAGTTGTCTAAGCGTATAAGTTTCTATATCTGCGATGAAATATAGGCAATTCCGCATAATGAATAGGCTAGGCGATAAATAGGTTTCATGATACACAATTGTTTCAGAGGACCTTTGTCGAACCACCGAAATATCTCCATCAAGCCTCTGGGATTCGATCGAACCTAGGTTATGAAAAACTGTCTTAAACTAACAATAAATTGTTGACAATATCAAATATATTCGAAATTAAAATTCATTTTGGCACATCTATTCTTAAGCAATGTTTTTATACCATTTCAAGTGAACTTACTAGTTTGTACAGTCTTAGTTACCGAAACATAACACTCGGTCTTCCATCTAAAAATTTATGGACCATAAAATTTTGTCGGGCGCCCTGGAGGTCTCTCAGATATTTTACATTGTTTAGTGTGAATTTTATGGACCCTTAATTGTTATTTTCATTTAACTATACATTTGTGTTGGCATGTTAGGCCGAGTTTGGCCCACACCCAAATCGAGGGGCAAATCGCAAATATGTTTAGTCGGCTCTCATTCGTCTTTCGGATTCTGAGGGACTTCTCATTATACTTTTGCTCTGGCGAATCTGTATGCAGTCCAGGCTAAGGATGATCTAAAATGCTATGAATACTGTAGTGACTCAGATTGAAGTACCTGCTAGGGCAATTTTACCTTTGATTAAACGATAAATTTAAGAATCCTGTTTGTGTTAGTGCTCAGCAAGACCTCAAAATCACTTGGAATCTTTTGTGCTCCGCTTCAATGGAGAAATATGCCTAGAGTTGGACATGTACGTAATAAAAATATTTTCATAAAAATTTTAGTCAAAGTAAGGTCACATATTTATACTAACTCAGAAGTAAATGCACCTCTGATTAAAGTCACGTGAGAACACTGAAATGTCATAATTTATGTGCCATAGATCTTTTACTGTAAATTTAACATTATTATCCAACTACCTTAGCTCGTGGGTGTTTTAATCAGGTCTGTTGAGAATTTTCGGCCAATGGTAAATTTCTCAACATAGTGAATTCCACATAAGTGAATTTGGTCATGTCGATGGTTATGGAGCCTTTCCCCAGCCGTTCATCCTTTAAAAAAAATCCCAGGGTTGCTTAAGATAGTGTACCTTGAGGAAGCTCCCAACAGTTTCGTGAAGAAGTGAATCGCTTCATCAACAGTTAAAGTGCGGTCAGTGACTCTATTTAGATTACTTTACAATTTGTCACAGAAATGAGACAGTTCGCTAGTAGAAATCAGAAATCCTGTTATTTTCTTTCTAAGATTCTACTTTTGAATTACAGAATTATAAGATTTCATAAATGTTTTCTTCAATTTGACTCAAATATATTTTTCTATTTTTTGTTTATTCTTACAGAAAGCGTTTTGTTGAAATTTTAGCCGCCTCCCTTGTATAAGAGGTTGTCATTCAATCTCGCATCCTGAGATAGTTTTGCAAAACTTTTGCACGGTTTTACACATACCATTCGTATTTGGGAAGAAAGTTACAAGATACAAAAAAAGATAAATATAGAAAGTCGGAGGCGTGAAAAATAAATTTACGGAAACGAGAAATAATCGACATTTGATCAAAGAAGTACTGTAGTGAACTGAATTTCAAAAGTGCAAATTTGTTATTTGTTCAAATCAGCAAAATATTCTCACAATAAAGAAGAATTTATTACTTAACGTGGAAAATATCGAAGACTCGTGGCAGAATTTTATCCTGATGATTTTTGTACTGCAGCTTTGATATTGGACACCTGATATTGGATCAAAGCTATTGAATAATATCAACAATCAAAAACTGGATATACTCCTTCGCTGAAACATAGGATATTACGAGTTTTCGTGGTTTAATTTGGACCTGGCATTGCCGTGAGAAATTGAACAAATTATGATTGAGCAATTGTAACATATTTATGACCGCAAACGGGCAGTTATATACAGAAGAACAACATCCGATTGCTTGGTGGGAAAATCATATCGTGAAACTTATGTTGACCGCAAATATGTGTCGCGAAAGATTCATCCAAAATTCATAAACTTACTTCTTCGTGGTAATGTGAAATAAGAAATCAACTAAAGAACTGTTTACTAAAAATGAAAGAACTCATAAAACATCATGTTGGTTTTCATCAAGATGAAAATTTTGTTCCAACAAAATGTTTGAAACGAGTTTGTATTTCAAACATGCCTTACGATCGAATTGCAAGATTTTCTATAAAAACACTGTTGTATAACACAATTTTATGGATTATTTTAATCGCTATAATACCCTTGGATCATCGAGGAATGATTTACCAATTCTGCGGAAATAAAATACCCTTAGTGGGTGCGACCATGTCCACTACGATGACATGTACTGGCAGCACTTCGTTTGTGAATGAAATTGCCAAATCGAGTTTTGTGAGTGCGAGAAATTCGCCCTCGCCGGTGAAATTCAAATTTCTTCGCCGATCTTACGTTCCATATTTGCCGCTAAAAGTTATTATAACCACCGACAATGGTCCGAATATAACTTCATTTTTCCTACAAGCCCACGAGCAAGGAAAGACTACACCTATCGGAAATTTCAATTCAACATTCTCTGATAAGGATATCTCTATTATCGGCTGCGGAGTAAACACCGTAAAATTTAAAAACACAGCGACAACGGTGACAGGGAAATACAGGTGAGAATCAATATCATTGCATTCGTTATACGTATTGATATTTATTTTCGTCATGCAAAACCAATATACGATCTGAAATAAATAAAAAGCATGTAACAATTTACAAAACGGATATCTGCTTGTTGCAGTAGGTGAGTGATCGCGAAAGACTCATCAACGACACTTTGTAGCTGAATTGAAGCAGAAAATATAACAACGAAACAACTCAACATTGAACATTTACTTAATTAGACAAAATCATATAAAAAAGAATAACAAAAAGATTACTTATAAACTACATATGTCACAATGACTATGTGAAATTACTTAAACATTTTAATTAGACTCAATCATACATATGCGCATTCAAAGATTTTTTTTTTTTTTTTTTTGCGCATTCAAGGAATTGAATCAAATATATAATATTCGCTCGATACATTCATATCCTGGGACTAGTGATATTAAAGTATGCTAATGTTATTATTTCGCATAATGCAGCAAATAATAAACGACTGGGTATGTCGATAGTAAATTTTTGGACGCTCCAGAAGTATGCGTATCAATATGAAGGTAAATAATTTCTTTCGCCTACTTTACATCAAGTTGTATAATGGGACTGAAACCTATGGACAAGGGGGTATATTCACTTGGCTAACATAGGTAGTCTCCGAACTCGTAATAGAACTAAAATGAAGAAAATCGGAATAAAATTATTGCCCAACCCTAACCTGGTACATACTACGGGAGTACCAATTTTCGCTATGAATTTTCGCTTAATCATCTGAATCTAAATGTTTTGGAGTGTTTTCATGATGTCACGGTAGGTGACCGTACATTTGAACCCATGTGTATATGTGCGGGTTCAATCTATATGCGGGTGCTAAAACTCATGGGTAAGGGTTAGTATGGGTTCAAATATCCACAAAACAAAAAAATTCAAAAGGTGCAGTATGCAGGTGCAATTGTCATGAGTTCAAATGTACGGGAACCGTCACGGTACAGAGCTTCGGAATTAAAAGCAAAATTGCAACTGCAATATGGCTCAATAATTATGTCGTATTAGATAACGCGATGGTCTAACTAAATCATGGACCAATCCATCTTATGTTTGTTAGTGAAGTAGCCGTATATATCAACTATAGTCACAGTTAGTCCAACACGAATGCTATAATTTAAGCTCTGTCGTGGTAGAAATATGATGAAATGCCGCGATTATGGGATCGATTTTCAACTCAGACCTATCATAAGCAACTCTAGCATTTTCCCTGCTGTTGTTGATTTTGTGAAGTCTACCATAAGAGTACTATAGGCATATAAAAGTTTGATTTATATTGTCTGGCGCAAAAGACTTAAATTGTTGAAAGCGCCATATACTTTCATATCACACACTCAGGTAGAAAAATGATAACAAACAAAACAATCACACAGGTCGTAAATTTAATATATGGGTGTCCATAAAATCTCAAATCTTTAAATTGCTAAGCGAATTTATTAAGCGATGTATTAAATGAAGTAAAAATACTTGAATAATTAGTGTTTTAAAAAAAAAATGGTTAAGATATATTGACAACTGACTTCATGACAAAATTGAAATGGGCACCCTGTATCTTTACAGCACACGCTATGAAAACAAAACATCATTTTAATTTAGTTGATATCCAAAGTTGGGTTTATAATTTTTGAATATTTCTTATATTTGTATGTTGAATAATGATCGTTTCGAATTTAGAGTTTGGAATGAATCTGGTTCGATTCGCGCCCAAACAAAGACATCCAACAAAAATACAATATATTACGCCATTCAGTATCTTTTGTACCAAGCTCCCGCCAAAAAAACACCTTCCCCCCTCCCCACCTCTAACGCTTAAATAAGAAAACTAGGAATCACCCATTAGGATCTGGGCTGGGACATTGTGCTGAAAATTCAAATCCTTCCTCACTGGATCTCACTGAACTCTCACTGAATAATTAGTGATTTTGTGGGGCTTTGTACAGAAGATCCGCCATTCAAAGTCTTCAATTCGATAGTAACATGTCGAAAAAAATTATTAACGATATTTCGTTGGCCTAGTTTATTCAACGTTTAGTTCAGGCTTGTTTTATGGGGATTGAAAGAGTTTGAATGTATTACCAAAATTTATCACATAATCACGCTCCAAACCACACTAAACACCCCTCAGCGTACACTATAATCTATTTCAAAAATCGTAGAAAAATGAAGGTATATAATGTACATACCCAAAATCTATTTTAATATACGCCCGTAAGCACACATTCATTTGAGAACATATTGCTATTTATTACAATTGGTTAAATGTAATCAAAGAAGAATGAAGTCTCAAAAAATATTTGTTAAACACCTTACTCCAGAAGCATTGATGCAAAACCGTGGAAGGATTTTGTCTGCTGAAAGCTCTTCAACGTTTAGATTGTAATCCTAGACTACCAGACAGATGCCTTTCCAACGCAACTTGCGTCAATTTACATAAGCCTATACTGTAATCCGGTTCATATTGCAGTTGATTCTCAGTCGCCCCATTATTGTGGTTGCATTTTTGTCGGTTCACAAAAGGTGTGCGTTAATCTTATTCATGGGGAATTAAATGTTTTCAATTTTGCTATCCTCCGAGTTCGACGTATTTATTTTTTTGGGAACTTTTGTGCAAAGCCCCGGCCAAATAAAAAAACCCCGTCACAACTCAAAAAAAGTAGTAATTATCCAGGCAAGGTTAGGGTTCTGAATGCAGATTCCGCTGAAAATTTTTGGAATACTTTGTACAAATCCTTGGCTAAAAAACACCCCCGACACCGCTCAAAATGAAAACGAGAATATCGGTCAGAGATCGAAGACTTATCGATCGAAAATTAGGGGATCCCCAAAACAGCGATCTTACTTCATTGTGACACCGTGTGTCCCATCACTAATTAATTAATAACTCGCTAATTATACGACATAATTCATCCAAAATCAATAGGCGTCTGGTCCGACATATGATGAATGCACATGCAAAATCTGGAGCAGCTTCAATCTCGCTTTTGTGAGATATCGCGTGCATCTAACAGACAGACAGACAGGCAATCTGACAGACAAATACCTATCAACATACTTACCGATTAAAATCGATAAGTAAAAATTAGTAATTATCCAGTTATAGGGTTAGGGTGAGGGTTAGAAATGCATATTTCGCTGGAAATTCGAATCTTAAAATCATTCCTAATCCGGACCCTAACTGGATAATTACTATTTTGTTATTTAGAAACGCGGAGTTTTTTTTCTCAAATATCACATTTTTGCATTAGTGTTGAGGGCTTTGTACAAAATATCCCTTCCTGGTTTTCAACAGATATGTTGAATAATATAATATCTTGAGGGCATCATTGTACCTCGCACACATAAGAATTTAGCAATTAACTTTGAATAACCGGCGTTCTAGAAATATGTGTACAAATATGGAGGTCCCTAAATTTTGTTCGCCTACAAGTTGTGTAAAGGGACGGAAGCCTATGAACAGGGGGTATATTCACTTGGCTGTCCCCGAGACAGCCCCAGAACTCTTAAGAGAACTAAAATAAGGAAAATTACCAAGCCGCAAACACAACATATTTACGGGTAACGCGTAACTCTTTTGCATCGATCCCACAATGTGAATTTTGAATAATATGACCGAAAAGAATTCTACAATATTACCGATTAATTTCTACATTTTTGATTCGAATTAGATTTTTTCAATATTTCTATTATAATATAGTCGTTTTAATGATTTTTTAAAAAACAAAATATTATATTTATTTGGCAATTTTTACAGAAAAAGGTCAAAGGTCACATTATACTGGAATCCACCAGCCAATTTCAAAACAGCGATTCAATTCAGAGTGAATGTCTTCACTACTGATCGACCAACAAGAGGTTGGAGAGGACTTACTTCGGAGGAAATTGTACCAAGAGTGGCAGGTCGGTAGCAATACTAAAATTATGAAATTTCCAACCGGGATCCAGTCGCACCGCCAGTACAGTCAAGGTGTTCCACAAGTTTACATTCATACGTTTAGTTCTTGACATAAAATGTTAAAATCTGTCACTTCACGTGGCAAATGAAATCTGACCGGCTATATTAGACATTTTGCCACGCAATGACCGTTTCTTTATACAATCCAACCTTCCGCATTGATTTTATATGTATATTATAAGTTTTCATTGTCGTAGTTTAAAATTTGCTTGTCTATGTGTCGCGCTTTGTATTACAAAAGTAAATGCTTCCTGAGTTCGAAGTTTGGCACTCGCGGCGTACAGTTATTTGAAAGCTGCTGGAGCTTTTTAGTGAAATAAAGAATATTATAACCAACAGTATAAAGAACTTTTGTATCTTGTTCATCAATAATTTCAAAAAATATTTTATTTTCCAGAATGCTATACGGGAAATGGGGCAAGTTACAGAGGTACAATGAGCCATACAAAATCCGGAATATATTGTCAGAAGTGGGATTCGCAGACTCCACACACTCACATTTTGTAAGTATTTTTGATGCAATTTAATTTCGATGGTTTACTCAATTTTTTTTATATAATCGCACCGGACTACAACAAAAAACTAACTTTAATAACTGTCAGAAATGAGATTTCATCTCGGGAAAAAGGAAAACTTATATGACGACCAAAACCGCGTTTCAAAGAAGTTGGATAGTTCGAGTTTACGCCAATTGACTTCAGGCACACTGTTTCGCTCAATTGACAGTTGAAAACATTATTGAGGCGTTATTTGTAACTCTCTGACTTATTAAAATTGGTAAGACTAGTGAGACTACAAACCGACGAGCTTATGAAATATCAATATTCATTGCGCAAAATCGGCGTTTTAGGATATTTTACTTTCCCGTAAATGTTCACTCATATTCGCTCACCAGAATACGTTAACTTGATTTAATAACCCATTCAGCATATTTCAAGCATGTATGAATAGATGGCCAATCATAAATATATACTCCGTACAAAGTGACATAATTGGTGCAATAATTGATCCATCAGGGCGCGACACAGAAATCCCCAATTTCATACGACAAGCAACTTAGTTGAGAAAGTCCACCCACCATAATTAGATTCAGATATTTCTTTTCACTGTCAAAGACCTAATATTGCATTGAACATTGTATGAGCAATATCAGCATTGAGTTATAGCAGCTGATAAGGGGCCGCGAAGGACTCCACGAGCTGCCTAGGACACAGAGCATACCGCTCATAGCTGGTTGATGATTCATTAAACAACATGTTTAGATGACAATATGGGGAGGCCACTAGCTAATCACGTAGACACGATTCAATGTTTCTTGAAATGTTGACTTAGTGAATGACAATTTCAAGGTCAAATGGTGTTAAAGAAAACGAACCGAGTACTAAGATGAAATATATTTTACGTTAAATCTAAATGCTATTCGACATAATGCCATACGCGGGTCGGAATTCCCCCTCCCTCCGCCTCCTCCCAAAAAAATATTCTGCATCACACATAGCCTTTTTTCGTAGATTGAAACGCATTTTAGACCCTCAAGACGTCAAAACCTACGTATTCCGGACCCGCTTGCTTTTACGGTCTAACTTAGAAATTTTAGAAACCCCACTTGGAAAATTCCTATAGCTACGCCCCTGGTCATGTGTCTGTATAGAAATTTCAAACTAGACGAAACTTGTAACGTTTGTTTCCAAAACCAGTTTCGCCAACAGTTAAGGCCAAGAATAAAATCTAGTAACGAACTTACTACTATGCATATAATGTTCAGTTAAAATATTTTTAATTTCTTCAGTTCTCGAAACAGAAGACAATTTGCTGACAAAGGATTAGAGAGTGATTTCTGCAGAAAACCTGATACAGACAATATACCTTGGTGTTACACAACCGCTCAACGACCTGTATTTGAAGCCTGCGATATACCTAAATGTGAGTTATGTATAATCGCATATGGCAAAGCGTTGAATTTAGGGTACTTCCGTAGTGTGTGTACCAGGTAAAGGTTAGGCCATAATTTTATTCCGATTTTCCTTATTTTACTTATATTACGAGTTCGGTGACTGTCTGTGTTACCCAATAGGTTTCAGTCCCTTTATACAAATTGATGTAAAGTATGCGAACAAAATTAGTTACTACCATATTGGAGGCAACACTTTTGGAGCACCGTATATAGAGCTGTATGCGGACAGGGCCGCATCATGTCTGTGAAATTAAACAAGTAATTTTCAGTATTCGTACTGAAAAAGTTAAATTCCGGCTCCGAATTCCGACAAACTCAAATTTTGATAACAAAAACTTTGGTTTCGCAGGCTGTTTTAATAAACTGATAAAAGCATTTAATAAACTTGATGACCATTGAGTTTCTGTACAAAATATGGACTTATGTCTCTGAATTTAATAAAAATTCTCCGTTAATGCCAAATCCTCATGAAATCTCATATTGGATTGAAATTGGATTTTACTTAGCTTAGCTAACATCAGCTTATTGATAACAGGGATCAACGTCTTAAACAATTTCTGCCAATGGTGATCAATGAGCATTATCTTGTCAAAACTTTTTTATCGCCACACACTTGATGACAAAGAAATTCTTATAAAACGTACATTTAACTCAAGGTTCAAACTTATTGACATTTGTCTAATAAACGATTCGATATGCTGCACATTATACTGAAGCTTGAGCTTATACATGGTGTCAAAAAATAAATGAAACCCACAAAATTGTTAATAAATACGCTGATTTTTATCCTATAGTTTATATATTTTATAATTGATAAGAACTATAGATGACAATAAAAATTTTAAAATCCCATTGCTTGGAAATTAAAAGTAAAAATTTTCGTTTAATTTCACTTCACTAAAAAAATCCACTAAATTGTGATTTTTCTATCTCATTTTTCATGAAAAATGTGGTTGTGCTCTCATATTTATGAAGTTTGATGGCTAACTATTGAAAATATTTTACTGGGTACAAACTAATGTTTCACCCGTCGTCTACTTGGTAAGGAAGAAACGTACGAGATACTGTTCATGATCTACACCTGATTTATTAAATCAGAACACTGACTTTTTTTTTGAAAACTGGCGCACTGACTCAAATTTTATCGCTTACTCCGCTTCATTGTAACTTACTGTGCTCTTATTTTTATGAAATTCCATAGCTCATTTTTTTTAAATTTGTTTTTAGGTACAAATGGCGGACTGCCGAAACATTTTGCAGAGTTTGGTGAAACTGTTGGCGACAAAAAAGTATCAAGGAAATTCGGTGAAATCGGGAGAATCAAATTTTCTGCTAATTTTTCTATGGTAAAAGCTAACTACACAAATGCAGCGGTGAGTAGGGGCGATCTTATTTATACCCGATTAGATACATATGATGCCATTATAATATTTCGTAATACGGCTGAACTAGCTCATCCCCAACACACGTACATTACCACAGAATAAAAATTGTGTTTATTTTATATTATTTTTTCGACCGATGCCGAGAAAAGTAGTTTTCGAAACCTTATCGCAATTTTTTCGCCTTTGAAGCTATTTCTATTAGCTTTACCAATGCACTAATTACCATTCACGACATTAATAAAGAAATATGTGGTTCATATTAATGTAAGTTCTCATTTTGAATTTGATGAAGATTCAACTTTTACTCTGTATCCTAAATTGTGCCGTTTTCACAATGCATTTTTGCACAATATATAATTCATATTAATATATGTTCCCATTTTGAACCATAAATTGTGCCGTTTTCACCCGCTATCGGGTTTTTGCACAATAAATTTTCTATATGGGTAACGTCACGTGATTGCCATTTTTATTCACAGGTATTTGAAAACGGAGTAATTGTTCTTGGCAAAGACGAAGATTCTATTAAAAATATAAAGTTGGCAAAGAACAAGGGATTGACTTTCACCAGGTATTTGTATGTTTTGTATATCTTGATGCATTCGGTTTGAGTATACCAGGTTGCACAGAAAAATCGCGGATTCTAATTTTTGTTTATGTATATTACCTGAATAACAGTTGTACCTGGCTGGGCTAGGCGGGCTACGTTTTGAATTTGAACTGAACGAACGACGTTATCGTACCTTTTTTGTAATCATATTTGTCGAACAGATATCACCAAAAAAGCGATTATTAACTATTTGTGACTTTCCACATTTAGGCCGGTCTAAAATATATGCTTATTTCTATCAAAGCAGTTAAAGTTTATTTTCTTACTTTCACTGTTATTTGGTGATTTTTCAAACAAGTTACAATATGAGATTTAAGTTTGAACAAAATGAGGTCAACTCTGACCTGCCGTTTTATGATAATAAAAAATAAACCCAAATTAGAGAGATGGAGAATACATTCACTCAATATGTAGCTTGAGATAATTATCATTCCGAGAATCTACCATAACACCAACACACTCATAAATTTATTTCTGTAACGTTTCGTCTGACCTTGGTCAATTCATTTGTGTTAGTGTGCAGCAAGACTTTTGATTCACTTAGGATAGTTATTTTTAATCCTGCTACAGCATACCTACATTATATGCATACAGATCCACCGGCACGAAAGCATAGAAAAATAATAATTAGTTAGTCCCGCAGAAACCAAATCCTTAACACTTATAAGTAGTCGCGAAAGTGCTGAAAGCTGGACGAGTTTGTGCCCAATCTCTATTTATCGGTAGGTGGCGAGTCGTCAAAACTGATTTAAACTTTCAATTAACCTTAAATTGCAATGAAATATCACATTTATTCCATTTAATTTTCTTAATTATTCCATAATTTTAGCAATACTGAATTCAAGTCTGGATCAACAGCAGTCATTGCCCCATTCTGGACTGAAATTCACCGGAATCAATCAATCGGTTCCAACTACGTATTCTTCCGAGAATCTACGGAACCTGACGTCATGATTCCACTGGGAGATGACGTCACTTCAAAGCTACGTTTTCTAAACAGGAAAAAGCCAAGAGATGAAATGTTTGTGCCAAAATGGGCTCTGATAGTTACATGGTAAGCTAGTTTTTGCGCGAATCACCTCGTTCAATTATTTTCGGTTTTTTAGTTCAGTCTTCCACCGTGTGCGTACATTACAAGTATGCGGCAATAATCCGGGCGCGATGGTGTCGTGGTTAAAGCGTCCATCGCGGTTTTAAAATCTTGTATTACGAATCACATGTTCACCACCTCACCCAGGATGTGATAAATTGGGTAAGCAATATCTGGCCCGTCCAAAATAAAATAGTTTCAAATCTTTTGCAAAAAGCTCCAGCCGAACCCCCAACGCGCAAAAAAAAAATATTAATTATCTAGTATATATTTGGATTGAGAATGCAGATTGCGGTGCAAATTCAAATCAGTCCCAGCCCTGACCCGAACATGATAGTTACTAATTTGTAATTCAAAAACACGACGGTGGTATTTCGCTCTAATCTCACATGTTTGCAGAGTCTTGCCGAATATGATGAAAAGGCGCAGTATAACCACCATGTGTACTATAAACCACGCTATTTTCGAGATGTTAAATGTTAATAGAACCGCCAAACACTGAAAAATTAATTGAAATGAAGGGGTGTTCTCTATAGTCTATGTTTTAGACATAGAGGCAATTAAAAACTTGACCTAAAAATAAATTCCTAAGTCAAAATGTATGTTTATCTACTTGGAGAACGTTTAAATTATATTGAAATATTTATTCAGGAAATTGGGAGTTGGACAAGTTTTTAAAACGACAAACCAAGATGTAAAATGTTACCACAATCGCTAACACTAACTTTAATTGAATATTGAATGTACACTCGGAAGAAAGGGGTGTTCCCTTTTGTCTGTTTTACACGAAAGCAATTAAAAACGTAATAAACAAATTATAATTCAAAATGTATGATTTCGCAGAACATCTAGATTATGCTGAAATATGCTGAATTATGCTGAAAAACACTGAAAGATAATTGAATATTCAATGTACACTCGAAAGAAAAAGGTTTTCCTATTAGTCTGTTTTTTAAGAAGCAATTAAAAGCTTAATAAACAAATTACAAGTCAAAATGGACGTTCACCTACTTAGAGAACGTTTAAATTATGCTGAAATATTTGTTCAAGAAATTGGTAAATCAAAACAGGTTTTTAAAACGGCAAACCGCATTTCCGAGAGCCTACTTCACGCAGTATTGCATGTGATTTTTTGAACGCCCACAAGCCAATTAAAAAAACACTTTTAAAATGATCAGATAATTTACTTATATTACGAGATGTGTAGATAAAACATGTATCTTTAGCCAATTCAAGCTGGAATTACTTCTGTGCTCGTTTAACCAAGACACCTAACCAAACGTGTATGAAATTTGGTTTGCTTCTATTTAAATATAATACAACGTTTGTTTATATGTTATACATCGTCCTCGTTACCCCAAAAAAGTTGATGTACTACATCAGCGACAAGATTCATTTACTCATTGTAGTGTTTTCTTCCCAACGTCAAAAATTCTTGTCGCTAGAGAATTCTTATGGTTTACATCGGAGAAAAATGCATCAAATAAATTTCGAAATGTTTTTTCATGAAATTTGCCAAATCGCGCGCCAGCCTATACCTATTGACGCATCTATCGCAAGTATATAAAATATGTACTTTCACTGGCCGCTTGCAACTCCATTTCTTGTCCACTTTAGTTGGCCGTTTGGGATCAAGGTTCGACTAATGATATCAAAATAGCAGCTTGCTTTAAAATTATGATTGAAGAGTTAACATTTTAATTATTCTTTCTTCAATCGCAACCCAAAATTCTCTCAAATAAATTATTTGATTGACTCTGGGTGTTTAATTCGGAACTTCAAATGTCGCCGACATCGGAACACCGCGGTACACCTATAATATACATTATTACACTATAAGTCTAATTCACCCATGATATGTCCTATAAGAATAGTGACTCATGGGCCATATGTTTGATTAAGATTTTTTTTGGCTCCGAATTTAACCAACTCAACGTAATAAACCCAGATCGTGTGAAAATAAAAACAAAATGCAAAGCAAGAGTCTGTGATATTTAGGTCTTCTGTTTGTAATTAATTACCAAATTCATCACGTACTGTACAAATAATAACACGACGTTTTGGAACAATTTCACCATTTTCGGCGCTCCAGAAGTGTGTGCACCAATATGGAAGTAACTAATTTTGTTTGCCTACTTTACATCAAGTTGTATGAGGTACTGAAACCAATGAGCATGGGGTATATTCAGCTGGCTAACACAGACAGTTCCCGAACTCGTAATAGAACTAAAATAAAGAAAATCGGAAGAAAAGTATGAAATAACCCCAACCTGGTACACTAGACCCTAAACTTGTCGTGTGTAAATTTTTCTAT